CGGGGGGGGGTGGGGGGGTGGAGCCCTCCCCTTCCACCAGCCGCGTGACGTCATTGGTGAGGAGCCCCTGAAGGAAAATGGCGGCCTCCGCGCCCCGCACCGCCAGCAGCCCCCGGCCCAGCGGGAAGCAGGCGGCGGCTCCGCTCCCCCCGCCCCGCCACAACCGCCGCAGCCCGGCCAGGGTTGTTGTTGCTGCCGGTCCCGCCGCTGCTCCCGCCGCCGCCGCCCTCCTCACCAACATGGCGGCGGGCAGGCCGAAGGCTGTCACAGGGCCTCGCCGCCGCCGGTCGCCGCCGCCATCTTGTGTGTGTCGGCGGGCCCTGGCCCCGCCCCTCTGCAGGGGGCGATCGGGCAGCGGCCGGGTAGCGGTGGAAGGACGATTTTGGGACATAAATCGCTCCTAGGCACCCCCATCTCTGCCCTACCGCTTCACGGAGGGGTGGCAGCACCCCGGTGGGCCGCGGGTCCCCCCGCCAGGCCCTGCATTCCCCTACCAGGCAAAGGGACGGTGGCACCCCCCGTGGTGAAACTGAAGTAAAAAAGCCTAAAATTAAACCACCTCCTGCGGTTTGGTTGTGCGAGTCCTCGGGGCCTGGCCAAGCTACCTCTGCCCTGCTCTGCCGAGAGCTCACAGCGTTCCTGCCCCCTTAGTCATTCCTTCCCCACCTCACTGAGCCTTTAATCCCCTGGAAACTGCAGACAGTAGGGCACGTACCCATTCTCCTCCAGTGGTGGTTTGGCTAGCGCGCTGGAAAATGCTGCTGCTGCTCCAGAGGTTCCTGTTTTCCACTGTACTTTAATGCTCCGTTACTTATATTTCTGTAGTTTATGTTACTGAATGTTTCATCGGCTGCCCCCATCCTTTTAACGCGTCTGGAAAAACTGTCAGCTCTGTTCTGGAACAGGCGATAGTGTTTGACAGTGGGAATTTTCTACTGACTGACGCTGAACAGAAATAAAACTCCAAATTGTGGGGCTGAAGGTGCTTGTTCTCTTGCCTCTTTTAACATTTGTTAGTGCTGTGGGAAGCGGACTCTGAAGGGCCCGGGTAGCCCCGGGTTCCGCTGCAGCTCGTTAGGGCTGGAATTCATCCCGCGGTTCAAGACATGGCCGTGAGTCATGCCTGTCATTTGTGATGATTGCTTTTCTCCAGCTGCCGCCAGTCGGTTTTAAGGCCGTTCTGCCTCTTGCTGCTGCCAACACCAGCGCCTGTGCTGCTCTGCAGGGAGGGGGGGGCTCGGCTGGCCCGAAATGAACCCTGCAAAACGGAGCCGTCCGTGTTCACCGGGACAAACGGTGCCGGCACCGAGCCCCCGGCCTCAAACCCACCGAATTTAAAACCCTGAGAGACGGGGCTCGTTTTTCAGGAGCTGTGAATGTGATGGTGGCAGGAGACGACGAGTTCAACCAGCTGGCCCTTGGGCAGGACCGGGTGCTCCCCGGCAGCGATAACCTTATCACATTCCCCCGTGTGTGAGGGGACAGATCGGCTGCCGGCGGCGGCGGCGAGCGCTGCGGCGTGTTCGACCCTGAATTCGGCTCTGGCCCCGCTCGGAGGCGGCGTTTGTCAGGCAGCTGCACAGGCCAGAGCAGGTGGAGAAATAAAAACAGGCAGCGGATGCGATTCAAGGTTGGAGAAATAAAAAACAGGCGGCAGGAGTGATTGGAGGTGACCTTGGCGCGCGAAGGTGCTCTGCCCGGCCTGCTGGCACGTGCTGCCCAGAAAAAACAGGGCTGAGGACACCTGCCTTCCTTCAAACCGGGGCTGAGGATGCAGAGAGCTGATGCCCATCGTTGTATTTTTAACTCTTCTTGGACGTGGGGACATGCCAAGAGCAGGAGCAGCTCTTTGTTTTTTTGAGATCCAGGAGAAGTGCGAAAATCACATACCTGGAAGTACAGCTGGGCTGAGACCCCAGTATCTACTGGGAATCTACAGCCAAATCCAGCTTTGTCCCTTCTTTGCCCAGTGCCACATCCCTGTTGCACCCACCATGACGCAGGGACAGGCGGTGGCTGTCCCACAAACAGCCCTTTGCCATCTCTCAATGCGTGCCCGTGTTGCCTCCTGACTATCACACGTGTTGTATGAAGCCCCACAGAGCATGGTTGAAAGGGTGGCAATGGAAATAAAAGTGAAAATGGCCAAAAAAACCCAGAAAACCATTTTGTGTCTATTTGTTTTTTCACTACCTGCAGCTTTTATTCACTTTTTTTCTGGGTTTTCTTTTCTTTTAGCACAGAGTTACGCTGCCAGTAAAGGAGTGTTTAAGTGTTTCAGTGATCAGAAAAGACAACTTTGCCAGTTTAAAGCATTAAATTGTCTTGAGGGAATGGTTTGAGGAAAGCTGTAGTGTGATCAAGACCTGCAACGCTGAGAGCCAGGGGGAGGTTTGTGCCAGCCCTGGCCGAGTGTGTCTGTCTTAACTAAAAGTAGGGGACCTTAAACCTGGTCAGAAGGACAACTCTGGGAATCATTCCCAGAGCTTTCCATGAGATTAATTTGGCAGCCATTGGGTGATTCTTCCACATCTGTTGCTTGACACTGTTTGGGTGAAGTTACAGTGACTTTAAACCCCACTGGGACAGCAGGACCCATCTCCTGCAGCATCAGTATGGACTGGGCTGCTGTGTTTAAAGAGGTAACGGGCACAAACTTGAACGTAAGAAGTTCCATCTAAACATGAGGAGGAACTTCTTTCCTCTGAGGGGTGGCAGAGCCCTGGAAGAGGCTGCCCAGGGAGGTGGTGGAGTCTCCTTCTCTGGAGACATTCAAAACCCACCTGGACACGTTCTTGTGCAACCTGCTCTGGGTGGACCTTCTTTGGCAGGGGGTTGGAGGAGATGATCTCCAGAGGTCCCTTCCAATCCCATGTCATCCTGGGATTCCGTGATGAATTGTTCCCACCAGCTTTGTCATTTCATTTTCTCCTTCTAACACTGTAGAAGTGACACAGTGACAAGACGCAACATCCCCAGCTAAGCCCTATCCCGTAGGAGACATCCCCTGAAATCCTTGATGGAACATCTCTCATCCAGGCAGGCACGTCAACTCAGAAACCCTTCTCCCGGTGAAGAAAATGGAGGAAAAAGGACACAGGAATCTCTCTCCCTGTTCCTCACCCGTCCCTGGGCAGTTGCACGAGCTGCCAGCAGCCTCTTGCTCCATCAGCTTTCCGCTCTCTGCTCTCCCACCGCCCGAAACCATGCCCTGGCTGCTGGAGCAGCAGGACAGCTGGAGGCTCCCACCCGCCAGGGCTCATCCTTAGTGTTTATTCATCCATAACTCAGCTGCTCTTGCATAAAGTGGGAATAACTGCTGTCCCCCCGCAGCCAGCCCCGCGGGTTAACCCTGGCGCAATCATCTCTGTTTCTCCAGCTTCTTCTCGATGGAACATCTCTCATCCAGGCAGGCACGTCCGGGACAACTCAGAAACCCTTCTCCCGGTGAAGAAAATGGAGAAAAAAGGACACAGAAATCTCTCTCCGTGTTCCTCACCCGTCCCTGGGCAGTTGCACAAGCTGCCAGCAGCCTCTTGCTCCATCAGCTTTCTGCTCTCTGCTCTCCCACCGCCCGAAACCATGCCCTGGCTGCTGGAGCAGCAGGACAGCTGGAGGCTCCCACCCGCCAGGGCTCATCCTTAGTGTTTATTCATCCATAACTCAGCTGCTCTTGCATAAAGTGGGAATAACTGCTGTCCCCCCGCAGCCAGCCCCGCGGCTCAACCCTGGTGCAATCATCTCTGTTTCTCCAGCTTTTTCTCGGGGAAGAGGGGAGATTTAGATGAGATACCAGAAAGAAATTCTTTGCTGTGAGGGTGGTGAGACACTGGCACAGGTTGCCCAGAGAAGTTGTGGATGCTCCATCCCTGGAAGTGTTTAAAACCAGGCTGGATGGGGCTTTGAGCATCCTGCTCTAGTGTGGGGTGTCCCTGTCCGTGGCCAGGGCCTGGAGCATCTCCCTTATGAGGAGAAGCTGAGGGACTTGGGGCTTTTTAGTCTGGAGAAGAGAAGGCTGAGGGGGGATCTGATCAACACCGATAAATACTTCAAGGGAGGGTGTCAGGAGGATGGGGCCAGGCTTTTTTCAGTGGTGCCCAGGGACAGGACAAGAGGGAACGGGCACAAACTTGACCATAAGAAGTTCCATCTCAACATGAGGAGGAACTTGTTTGCTGTGAGGGTGGCAGAGCCCTGGCAGAGGCTGCCCAGGCAGGTGGTGGAGGCTCCTCTGGACACATTCCAAACCCACCTGGACACGTTCCTGTGGGACCTGCTCTGGGTGGGCCTGCTTTGGCAGGCGGGTTGGAGGAGATGATCTCCAGAGGTCCCTTCCAACCCCATATCTTTCTATGATTCTGTGACCTTGCTGGTTTGAAGGTCTGAGGAATTACTTGGCAATTTTTTTTTCTTTTGGGTGTTTTATGGAGCACTGCAGAGGATGTGACCTCTGAGGCTGAAGTGTTTCTGACTATTGACCTTCCTTGGGGACTTGTTGAAGGATCCCGGTCTTCCCCGTCTCTTGGTGTGAGCTGCTCCTGCTCATTCCAAAGAAGTTGTAAAGATACCACAACTGCCAGAGGAACAGAAAAAAATGCATTTTTCTGTCCAGAATATTTCCTGAAGACTCTTTGGACGGTGGTTGTGAGTGAACGTGCCTGGTATTTAAAGGGACAAGCAAAGACTGAGGTTGTTTGGAAAATTCAGCTTTCTTCCAGTGCTTTCCCATTGTTTGCTCAGCTCAAATCATGGGTTTCTCCCAGATTCTGCAAAGTTTTCTTGCTTTTGAAAGTACAGCTTTTCCTAAGCAGCTTCAGCTCCGTGCCTGAAGGAACTGGAGCAGTGATTCATCAGAGAGACAACACATCCCAAACAACTCGAAGGTCAACTGCTTCTTAAGGCAAAAATATTTTGCAGTGATTTATAGCCATATCTGGCAAAATAGAGCTCTTACATGGCTAAAACAGGCAAATAATAGACTGAGAAGAATTTCTTGTCATCAACACTCGGCGCCCTTCTCACAGAAACACCACTCGCTTTACATACTGTAACAAAATGTCAGTTTTATTCCATTTTATTAGTAACGGGTGGGGAATAGCCAGTTGAAGAGTTGGACTGATGTATCTTTCTCTTTTGACCAGTGTTTAATATCCTAACCACAGTCCAGATGTAACATTTACACTGAAAAATACTTACAGATTCAACCTCATACTCAAAAAATTTCTAGTACAAATACAGTTAGTACATTTAAAAAAAAATGAATGACGACGACAACAACAAAAAAACCAATCCCAGAAACTTCGTAACAGCACAGACTGGTTATGGCCTTGAGTTAAGTTCAAGTATTTTCCAGTGGAATGCAATGCAAGCAAGAAGGTAATCTGGCTTTTAGGTGGGACATTCCTGGCCCTGAATGGTAAGAATAGAAATATAAGTGTGGGCACTTTGTATCTGGCCGAGTTTAGCGAGAGAGTCGACGTTTTACCATTAGTTCAGCTGCAAAGCCAAACCCGTCTTGTGTGTGAACAAAACTACTAACTTGTTAAAAAAAAAAAACCAAAACAAAAACAAAAAAGGAAAAAGCGAAGCATTAATTATAATGTTGCAAAAAAAAAAAAAAAAAACAAACAAAAAAGGAAAAAGCAAAGCATTAATTATAATGTTAGTGTTTCTTCTGTGGCCGACTGCCTGTCGTCTAATTGGAATTCCTCGAGCCGCTGGTTTGGTTTGTAATGGTTGTGATGGGGATTTTGCTTATGGTTATGCTTATTTTGCCTCTCTATTATTTTGCCTCTCTATTATTTTGCCTCTCTATTCTTTTCCTTCCCAAGCTGACACCATAAAGAGGGTATTTTTGCTCCTGCCCCGAAAGGACTTGTTCCTCTCGAGACATTAATGCACGTCGGTCGCCTTGGTGGCAGTGACTCGGTGGAAAGACACAATATCCTAAATTCTTTAGAGGCCAAGGAGTGGAGGAGGAAGGGGGGAAGTGAGCAACTCAGTATACATCATCATCATCATCATCCTTTGTATTTCTAGGGCTGTCTGACTCATGCTGCCTCCTGTGTGTGGCTGAGATGGGATCTGGGAGAACTGGGGTCCCTCCTCCCTGGGGTCAGAGGAGTCAGCGGTGTCCTCCAGGCTGGCTGGGACCTTCCAGAGAACTTTACATCTCATCCAGGCAGCCCACACCACCAGAGCTGTCCTGCTGGGAATGTGCCCTTGTGCTTCTGTCCCTGCTTGGAAAACATGAGAAAGCAAGATCAGCTCCCACGTTTCATGCAAGGAAGTATTTCAAGCCTTGATAAATGAGCTGGAAGGACGGCAGAGAGAGCGGTTTATCCTGTCTCTCTGCCCAACGAGGAGGTTGTATCGATCACCCAAGAGTCTGCCCTGGCTCTAGTACTCGTCAATATTGCAATTATTGACTCTCACTATGGAAAACAGCGTGTGCGTATTAAATGTGATGGTGACACCAGCCGGGAGGAGGCTGCGGATGTGCTGCAGGACAGACAGATCATTCAGAACCCCCTCGGTGCACTGGGTCTAAACGGTTTTGGAGGGGCCACCAGGGTGGCAGATGGGCACGTGAAGAGCAGCAAAGTGAGAAGGTGGCCCAAGGACCAGCTGCTGGGAAAGACATGGACTAGCTGGTGGTGGTGGTTCAAAGACAAAGTGAGAAGGTGGCCCAAGGACCAGCTGCTGGGAAAGACAAGGTGGTGGTGGTTCAAAGACGTCAAGGAAAACCATATTAGAAAAGCAGCCCTTAGAGAAAGGTTGATGAGACTGGAGTTGTTTAGCTTAAAGCAGACTTGAGAAGGATGAAAGCAGCCTTCAAACACCCAAAAGCTTCTGCAGCCATTAAAGGCATGCGATGTTCTCCATGGCTGCTGAGGAGAGGAGATGCCTGGGGTTGCAGCAAGCGGGGGTTCGTGTTAGCCATTAAGGGAGCATTTGATGGTGGCAAGTTGAGCAGAAGATCCATGGTCCTTTCCAGCCCTGTTGCTCTAAGTGTCTCTGAACCTGCAACCAGAAAGCCCAGGGATCTCCTCCTGCCACGCACTGACCAGCTATTGTGTTGGGGAATTGGGTGTAGCCCTGCTGTATAAAATGGGTTTAATGGTTCAGTTGGGTCCCTGTGATCAAGTTCTGGGGTTTCTGGCTTCAAATTTGCTGTGCCCACCTTCCCCATGGTGAGGCCAGGATGGTTTCCTGAAGCAAGAGCAAGGGAGGGACATGCCTGTCCCTGTGTTTGGTGACTTGCTGGTGAATCTGCAGGTCAGCAGGAGATGAGGGGCTGATCTGAGTCATGGGGAAACGCTCAAGCCACGTGTGGGGCTGAGGGAGGTGTTGTGGTATGGGCAGGAGAACCCCCAAATCTGGAGTCCTGCACAGCACGGTGCCTTCTGGCGTTGCGTGAGAAGGACGAGTTTGTCTGGGGCTGTGACTTTGCTGCTCATCTCAAAGGAATCAGAAGAACCCAGGCAGCATCCCACGACCCCTCTCCTCAGAGTTTCCATCCTTCCCTGGGGATTGTGACTTTAAATACACACTGTTTCCCGTGGGACACAGGGCTGACCATAAACGAGAAGTCACATCAATGTGGAGGACAAGCTTGTGCCCCATAATGACTAGAGAGCAAATTTCCACCCAGCAGCACGTCTGCTCTCCTCCCCAGCAGCTCTGGGCTGTGGACCTGCATGCATTTATCTTCACACCATCAGCAACCAGCTTCTCCTGCATTGCCCAGTGCAGCCCAGCCCAAGAGGAGAGCACGGCATGGTCCCACACGCAGGACAAGGACCAACAGCGCGGTTGGATATGTTTGTCTCCCCACCACCCTGGTGAGAACTTCCTGAGCCTTTCATTCAAAATTCACCACAGAAAGGCCGACACGACAGACGTGTTACTCCCGACCACGGCTGGTGAGGGGATGAACTGATCTCCTCCTGGATGAGGTTGTCCATTTTCAAGGGGAAGATGTCTACCAGCGAGAGCGGGCAACACTCCAGGCGTTTCACTGATGCCTTCAGCAGGACCAGGAACAAGCCTGAAAGTGTTCCCCAGGCTGCGACACAAAACCGTAGTGAATACTTACAGCTGGATATCTTGTAGGATGTTTATTTGCTTTCTTTGTAAACCTACTTTTTTTGCTGCCAGCACTGTTCTCTCATGGCGTGGCGCAGCTCGGTCAGGGTCTGGAGGAGCTGAAGGCCATACCCAAGTTCTCTGCCTGTTCCCCAGACTGGCCAAAGGGCCCAACTGCCTGGAGAACAGGCATCCTCAAGGCATTCAGGGACCCATCTCAAGAGACATAAGAAGGAAGCCCAGGAAGAAGTCACCTAGATGTGATGGATAAGAAATACTTGCACAGGGACCTGCATGTGACTTTGGGTGGCCATCACAGCCCCAAGGGAACAGCTGGGCACAGGGACAGTGCTGTGTTCAGTGAGGATTTAGTTCTTTCATGTTACGTTTGACCCCGAAGGGTCTATCTGTTTGGGTTCTCCATGGGGGTGAGTCAACCATTGGACTCTTGGGAGGTTGCAAGAACATCAGCCAAGCCACAGGCATCTTGGGAACATCTCAGGGATCAGGATCTTAGAGCATCTCTGCTCTAAGACCTGGCAGAATGGGGTAATGACTGGTTTCAGCCTCTACCCTTCGGCAGGAGATGCTCCCTGAGATGCCAGTGATGAGGTGTTCTCTCTGTTTTGTGTTACTGGAGGGGTAAAAAGCCACAGCCCCGCAGCTGTGCAAGAGACCCAGTATGAAACCACCTTGAGAAAGCACATCCTCAGCACCAGTGGGAGCCTTGGAGCTCAGCAGCTTGCTTTTAACATGCCCCCAGATTCCTGTAGCTGCATGAAAACCACCCTAAAACCAACCCAAGCTCAAAAAGCTCCCCATAAACCAGTGACAAAACTTCCTGCTGCTGTCTTGGGCCTGTCCCCCACTGAAGCCAGATCTTCTGCTAAGCCCTTCGAGCAAATGTGTGAAACTTGCCGGTTCCCCAGGGGACGCTGGAAGCTAGAAGCCCCAAAACTTCTCCAGGATGAGATCAGCCGTAGTTCCTGGATCAGGGAGGGGTTTCCCAGGGGAGGTGGAAGGCTGTAAAATTACCAGAGGGTTGATATTACGTTTATATATATCTCTCTATGCCTATATTCACACACACGTTCATATGTGTCTGTATATATACGTACATGTACACACACACACACCATATACACACTAATGCATAGATTTGCCACCTGCCACTATTTATAAGGGGTTTGATTAAACAGAAAAACAAATTCGCCGACACTTCTCTTCCCGTCTCTACTGAGATTCAGCAAAGAGAGAAGTCCAAACCCTTTATCATTTTGTTTTCCTGGTTGGGTAAAGGCACTTCCTGACGATGTGAAGCAGCAGTTTTGGTTAAAAACGCTGAAACTGCAGCGATTTCCATCACTTCTGTAGCAAGGGCTACACAGGCACCGGGATGACGCGACGTCACCGCTCGCTCCTGCTGGGGGGTGTTTGATGGCATTTGCTTTTTGCTTGGACGCAGAGGAACAAAAGACAAAAACCTTCTGTGTTTCTGCCCCGTAACTTGATGTGGGTCCCAGCTCACGGCTCGAACGATGCCTGCAAGAACATCTAACCATTCAGGCAGGACATGGGCTGTGAGCGTGTCGTGAAGGTTCCTCCAGCGTGTCAGTTGTTTTCTCATCGAGGGATCGGAAATTAATTTTGATTAAGGATATTTAGTAATTAAACACTGCCCTGACCTGCAGCCCTCTAGCCTCGCCATGCAGGAGGGGAGCTGCTCGCTGTTGGCCTGAGCCACCAGCAGCTCCACTTCCCATCACAGCACGTTGTACAGTCTCTGTTGGGAGCTCCGGTGGTGACCGAAGGGGTGGAAGATGCAGGGGGTTGCTCACTGGAGGTTCCCAATGGGAGAATGTGTTGGAAACAGAGAAAAAATGTCTTTTGTTAACGCACTGGAAGACAGCACTAAATTGGTCTGAAGCTCTTTTTCTCTCTTGGCTTCCATATAAAAATTGCGCGGGTGCCCTGTGGAACGAACGCGAGACAATACCGAAAACCAGAACCAAACCAAACCCAAATCCCCACTTACGCTGCCCTCTCTCCTTTCAGATGAAGCTATATCCATACAGACGTCTTTCCGTCTTTACTACTTGAGCTCCCTTTCTCCAAGCAGGCCTTGGGTTTAGCACCTTGTTTCTCCTGGGCGGTGTTGGCCCTGTTCTGCTCTACCACCGTGCCACCCGAGGCGGGACTGCTGGTTCGAGAAGGTTGTGTGTTGGCCTGGGTGCTGCTGTAGCTCTGAAACGCTATGTCTAACTGCTCCTGGGCCACTCGCAAGTGTTTGTGAAGGGTGGACAAGTCCGCCGGGAGGTTCTCATCCGGGCTGGTGCACTGCTGCTCCTGAGCCACGTTAGCCAAGTTCTGCTCGTGAGCCATCAGGCTGTTGGGGATCTTGGTGGACTTCTCCGATTTCACGACCAGGTTGTACTCGGGAGGGCAGGAGATGTTCTTTGGGTAGGCGTAGTTGTAGGGAGGCTGCCTAAAGCTGTTGATTTTCCGATTGCGAATGGCATCTCGGATGGTCCCAAACCCTAGGTGGAACATCTCACACATGTTCAGCAGTAAGCACAGACAGCTCACGACGTACATCACCAGGAGAAAGATGGTCTTCTCTGTTGGCCGGGACACAAAACAATCCACAGTGTGAGGGCAAGGGACTCTGTTGCAGACGTAATAGGCTTCTACCTCAAAACCATAGAGCAAATACTGCCCTATCAAAAAGCAAACTTCAAACGAAGCTCTGGTGAGTAGCTGGAAGACGTAGATTTTCATCAGTCCTTCTTGCTGGATGCGCCTCCTCCCGTCGTGCTTCTGTTGCTCTTTGCTCTTGGGTTTGGCTTTGGCTTTCTCATGTTCTGCTGTATCATCAGAGATCATGGGCTCCTCTTCATCAGCCTCCATGGGGTCCTCCACGTTGCGCACCGCCTGCCAGTTCAAAGCAAACTGCTTCTTCTTCTTGAATCCCTTGAACTTCTTCTCCTCCTCCGCCGACCGGGCGATCCGGTGGATGGCGTAGCCCAGGTACATGACGGAAGGGGTGGATATCATGATGATCTGGAAGACCCAGAACCTGACGTGTGACAGCGGCGCGAAGGCATCGTAACAGACGTTGTCGCAGCCGGGCTGCTTGGTGTTACAGGTGAACTTGCTCTGCTCATCGGAGTAGATGGACTCCCCACCCACCGCTGTCAAGACAATGCGGAAGACGATGAGCACGGTGAGCCAGACCTTCCCCACGAAGGTGGAGTGATTGTGAATCTCTTCTAGCAGGCGGGTTAGAAAGCTCCAGCTCATGTTGGTCATAAGGGCTACTCAGTTATAACCTGAGGGAAGAGAAGGGAAGAAAAAAAACATAGCTGTAAGATAACATCGGTGGCTGCAGACAGCAATATGGCTGTGACCTTAGCATGGCCGTGACAGACAAAGTCATTTTATCTCAAAGAGGCACCCTTCACAGAATCACAGAATCACATGGGGTTGGAAGGGGCCTCTGGAGATCATCTCCTCCAACCCCCTCCCAAAGCAGGTCTACCCAGAGCAGGTCCCACAGGAACGTGTGCAGGTGAGGTTTGAGTATCTCCAGAGAAGGAGACTCCACCACCTCCCTGGGCAGCCTGTTCCGGGGCTCTGCCACCCTCAAAGTCAAGAAGTTCCTCCTCACGTTGAGATGGAACTTCTTATGTTCAAGTTTGTGCCCGTTTCCTCTTGTCCTGTCCCTGGGCACCACTGAAAAAACTGGCCCCATCCTCCTGGCACCCTCCCTTGAAGTATTTATAGGTGTTGATCAGATCCCCCCTCAGCCTTCTCTTCTCCAGACTAAAAAGCCCCAAGTCCCTCAGCCTTTCCTCGTAAGGGAGATGCTCCAGGCCCCTCATCATCTTTGTAGCCCACCCTTCACCGCTCCAACCCCTCTCCCCAGCGAGGGACCACGACATGGGGCTGAGCACGTGAGCTCCACATGGAGCAATGGGAGGTGGGCAGCGTGGGGATGTGCTGCACCACCAGAATTGAAGGCAGGAGGTACTAAATAAACACAGATTGATAACACAACAAGCCACAGCATCGACTAGATTGGCCATAACCCTCTTTGTTGCCTTTTTCAAGATGTTCCTCAGCTGTCAGAAGGGTTTGGGTGACTGTAAAAAGTGAATGCAAGGCACCAGGAAGCCACCTTGGCACAAAAAAGGTGCTTAACTTGTGACAGTCTCTTGCTTCCCCACCACGGGCTCAAGCAGCCGAGCTGAAAGCGGGAGCAGAGGATGCTGCCCGCATCCCAGAGACTTGCACTGCTGAAACATCTTTCATTAGCAAACCCAGAAAAATGCAAAGAATCAGCAAAAGAATGGGAATATTTATGTTTACAGGCCGGTGGCCCTTTTAAGTTCCTTTTGGAAAAAAAAAAATAAAATAAAATAAACCAAACCAAAACAAATGTTTAATCAAATGCAGGCTGTTTCAAAAATAAACTTCTGAAAATATTTCAGAGAAAAACATGCATTTATGAAAAGACCTGGACAGCTGGGGAGGAAGAGCTTGTCGTAACCATTTTGTGTTTCGCTTAACTTGCGATGGGGCCTCAGCCTGAGCATCTTGGGTGACCATCATTGAAGGCATCATTAAAGGCAGGAGGCACTTTGACTGCTTGACTGGCAGCATCCCTGGCAGGTACCTGGAGGGGAGAGCAATAGGGAAAGCACCCGGACCCAAAGAGGGCTGTGGTGGGGGACAGTGGGGCTCTCACTCCAGAGCAGCAGAGGATGGGATCATCCTTTCTGCTCCCCTGCATCCCTCCTCTGAATCCTCCTTAGGTTCTCCATGGAGTTTACCCACCTTGTGGACTCAGCAAAGTGCCCTTGTGGCCAAGAGGCCAATGGGATCCTGGGCTGCGTAGGGAAGAGTGTGGCCAGGAGGTGGAGGGAGGTCATTCTCCCCCTCTACTCTGCACTGGGGAGGCCACAACTGGAATCTTGCGTCCAGTTCTGGGCTCCCCAGTTCAAGAGAGACAGGGAACTGCTGGAGAGAGTCCAGCGTAGGGCAATAGAGATGATGGAGGGATTGGAGCATCTCCCTGATGAGGAAAGGCTGAGAGAGCTGGGGCTCTTTAGCCTGGAGAAGAGAAGGCTGAGGGGAGACCTTATCGATGCTGACAAGTATCTAAAGGGTGGGTTGAAGGAGGATGGAGCCAGACTGTTCAACTCAAATCTGAGGAAGAACTTCTTTGGGATGAGGGTGGCAGAGCCCTGGAAGAGGCTGCCCAGGGAGGGTGTAGAGTCCCCAGATCTGGAGATCTTCAAGCCCCGCCTGGATGCTCCTGAGTGATGTGCTCTGGGCAACCCTGCTTTGGCAGGGGAGTTGGGCTGGATGATCTCTAGAAGGTCCCTTCCAACTCTAACAATTCCGTGATTCCGTGCAGACACCCAATTAGGTCTATTAGGTGTCTGTGAACCCAATCCCACCCATCAACTGGTGCCTACCACTGCGCCCAGAAGAAGAGAGTGGGTGCATTGGTGGCAGATGTAGGAGCCAAGCACAAGGAGCATGGACACAAGGGAGCTGGCGTGGAGCTGCACATGGCAGCGGCGTGTTATCACAGAATCTTAGTGGTTGGAAGGGACCTCTGAGATCATCGAGTCCAACCACAAAAAAAAAACACCCAAACAAACAAACAAAAACAAACAAACAAACAAAAACACACACACACAAAAAAAAACAACCAAAATCTAGAAGGTCCCTTCCAACTCCAACAATTCCGTGATTCTGTGACCGTTTGCGTGCAGACACCCGAATAGGTCTATTAGGTGTCTGTGAACCCAATCCCACCCATCAACTGGTGCCTACCACTGCGCCCAGAAGAAGAGAGTGGATGTGTTGGTGGCAGATGTAGGAGCCAAGCACAAGGAGCATGGACACAAGGGAGCTGGTGTGGAGCATCACACAGCAGTGGCGTGTTATGGCTTGACATCAGTTGCCCTGACACGGGCTACTCCCCTGTGGTCCTCCACAGTCAGGCAGAGGATGAAAAAGGTGCTGTCATCTATACGTTGCAAGAGTATGGACACCAAACCTACTGTTCTCCACATCAAACCCTTCTGGAACATGATTTTGGTCACCAGGATGAGAGCCAAACAGTGCTGGGTCCCTCAGCCCTCGCTAGTTCCCTCAGCCTCTCCTCATAGGACTTCTATGGCTTGACATCAGCTGCCCTGACATGGGCTACTCCCCTGTGGTCCTCCACGGTCACGCAGAGGATGAAAAAGGCGCTGTCATCCATACGTTGTAAGAGTATGGACACCAAACCTACTGTTCTTCACATCAAACCCTTCTGGAATGTGATTTTGGTCACCAGGACAGGAGCCAAACAGTGCTGGATCCCTCAGCCCTCATGCTGCCCCGGGAGGTGGGAAGCACGATCCGAGGCTGGAGGAGGGAGGAATTCTTCCGCTGCTGAGGGCTCTCAAGAGCTGGCAGATGGAATTTTCTAACCCTGCTATTTCTAGATCAAACAAATCCCCAAACAAAAACAAACAAACAAACAAAAACACACACACACAAAAAAAAACAACCAAAAAAACACACCACAGCAAACGCCCACCAAAAACACCGCACCCACCAACTAAACCCCACACTCAACACCTCGCCATAAACCAATAACCTTGGGCACTAGAGCATGCCCTGAAGAGCCATGTCTATACGTTTCTTAAATACCTTCAGGGATGGTGACTCCACCACCTCCCTGGGCAGGCTGTTCCAGGGCCTGACCACTCTCTCAGTAAAGTAATTCTTTCTAATATCTAATCTAAATCTCCCTTGCCACAACTTCAGACCATTTCCTCTGGTCTTGTCGTTCGTCCTTTGGGAGAAGAGGCCAACACCTGCCTCTCTACACCCTCCTTTCAGGGAGTTGTAGAGGGCAATGAGGTCTCCCCTCAGCCTCCTCTTCTCCAAACTCAACATGCCCAGTTCCCTCAGCCTCTCCTCATAGGACTTCTATGGCTTGACATCAGCTGCCCTGACATGGGCTACTCCCCTGTGGTCCTCCACGGTCACGCAGAGGATGAAAAAGGCGCTGTCATCCATACGTTGTAAGAGTATGGACACCAAACCTACTGTTCTTCACATCAAACCCTTCTGGAATGTGATTTTGGTCACCAGGACAGGAGCCAAACAGTGCTGGATCCCTCAGCCCTCATGCTGCCCCGGGAGGTGGGAAGCACGATCCGAGGCTGGAGGAGGGAGGAATTCTTCCGCTGCTGAGGGCTCTCAAGAGCTGGCAGATGGAATTTTCTAACCCTGCTATTTCTAGATCAAACAAATCCTCTGCGAACCCAAACTCTCCAGTCTTCACACGCCGGAGTGGGACGGCGGGAGCACCCTGCAGATGGTGTTATTCTTGTCCTGGAGAAACTGAGGCAGGGAACAGAGAAACAGCTCGCTCCAGGCTGGGTAATAAGCCAGAAGAAGAGGTGGGGAAGGTCTCCTCTCCCCCTACAACTTACCTGGCGAAGCACAACAACCCTGGAAGCTGCTGGGACCAGAATCCCCATCTCCTGCCCCAAAAGGGACACCTTGGACCCAGTGGTTGGTGCAGAAATGCTGCTGTAGATACAACTGAGCCACCACAGAAGCTCGTGGGCAGCAATCCACCTTATTCCTTATTGATGGAGGAAATTGGGTTTATTCAGGGGTGAGATGGGAAAGCATCCCCTTTGAGTGCCTTTTTTTTTTACTTCTTTAGGGTGGGTACGCTCCAAAGTGTCTTTAACCCTTCCTCTGACTTGTGCCCCCACTCAGATACGGGCAAAACGGGGTGTTGTTACATGATTTGTGGGATTTATCCGGGCGCTCGGCCAAGCTCCAGCTGAGGAGGTGGGGGGGAGCTGGGAAGGGAAGACCCCCGCTGGGTGCAGCGATGACCTGCTGTGGGACACGGTGCATCTGTCTGTGGAGCATCCGGGTCCAGCTGAGACTTGGCTGGAGCACACGTTGACCCCAGAGCTCCAGCTGGGGCTTCAGCCACCTCCTGCCTCCCATCCGCACCCCCAATTAGCTGCAAGCCCCGTGTTGTTCTAAAACATGGGCTGTGGAGCAGTTCATTTATCACGTCAGCGCTCACCTAAAGGGTTTATGAGGTCTACACCAGGGATAATTTACTATTTTGCAAGTGTTACCCAAGGACTCAATTCCCAAAGCTCAGACTTGGCTCCCAACAGCAGTTTTCATGGGGTGGGGAAGGTCTAACCAAGGTAACGGTGGCTTCTGGAGTAAATATTCAAGTTTTTGACCTGATATTAGTCCTGTTCGTTACCCACTGTCTCATCTGGGAGACACATTTCAGGAAGGAACACCTGAAAGCTTTGGTTCTAAACACTCCCAAACCTCCCAAGTCAGGGAAAAGGAAAGAAATTGCAAAAGAACCAAAGTGGAAGGTTGTTGATTTGAGAAGGCCACCTCCGTTGACCAGCCCGAGCTGTTGGTCCTGCCATTGACGCCGCGGTTCAGCCCTCCCTGCACATCTGGATCTGCAGGAACATCTGCAGGAAACACCCTCCAGCAGTTCCTGCACCCCCGGGACCCCGCTGTTGCCCCCACGGATGATCACACCTTGACACGACACCCCTGTGTGTCCACCCGCTCTCCTGAGGATTTGAAAGAGTATTTTTTAAGGAAACAAGTTAAAAAACCCCTCCAACAATCAGTCCTGTTAAACTTCCAGTGCTTTTTGCAACTTTCTGGCTGGAACAACTCTCTTATGAGATTTCAATGCCTTTAATTGCTGGGGGTGAGGAGGAGGGGGGGGGTTAGTACACCATTATGTTTTGGGATTAATTACAAGGCAAACGAGCTTCCGAGGAAGGATTTGTTGACATTGCTTTGGTTGATGGATGGGATGGTGTTAGGAAAAGACTGTGTCGCATCTCCCCACAACAAAAAAATTTAAAAAAGGGGATTTTTTTGCACCTTTTCTGTGCTTCAGATCTGATCATTCCCTGAAAAAGGAAAAGCTTCATGGTCCAGCTCCCTGAGGGACATAAAAACCAACCCACCTGCGTGGCTCTACAGGAGGTAGATGGTTGATTCGGTGGTTCATGGAGCTAAATCAGCTGCCAGAGCCATAGCACGAGAGGACCCACCATCCCACCAGCTTTGAAATCCATTCATTCCCAGCCATCTATCTCCACACGTTACCTCCAGAGTAGCTGACACGCAGCCTTTGGAAGGCAACTGGGACACAGGTTTGACTTCCAGACAGCTCTAAAGGCAGAGTTGAACCCCTCGACTCGACGGCAGCGCTTAAAAATCATGGAAATCGCACGGAGCCGGGTACAGGGATCACAGAATCACAGAATCTTAGTGGTTAGAAGGGACCTCTGAGATCATTGAGTCCAACCACAAAAAAACAAACAAACAAACAAACAAACAAAAACCCCAAAAAAACACACCACACCAAACGCCCACCAAAAACACTGCACCCACCAACTAAACCCCACACTGAACACCTCGCCATAAACCAATAACCTTGGGCACTAGAGCATGCCCTGAAGAGCCATGTCTATACGTTTCTTAAATACCTTCAGGGATGGTGACTCCACCACCTCCCTGGGCAGGCTGTTCCAGTGCCTGACCACCCTCTCAGTAAAGTAATTCTTTCTAATATCTAATCTAAATCTCCCCTGCCCCAACTTCAGACCATTTCCTCTGGTCTTGTCGTTCGTCCTTTGGGAGAAGAGGCCAACACCTGCCTCTCTACACCCTCCTTTCAGGGAGTTGGAGAGGGCAATGAGGTCTCCCCTCAGCCTCCTCTTCTCCAAACTAAACATGCCCAGTTCCCTCAGCCTCTCCGCATAGGACTTGATGAGCTGGTGGCTCCAGGTTCTCCTCACAGTGAACCCCAAAACCCCCTGACCCCTCCGCGGCACCTCAAACCCAGCTGTTGCAAGTGGGAAGGGGGGAAAGTGGGAAAACTTTAAAACCCGAGTCGAATAGGAACAGAAGAAGGAAAAAAAAATTAAATAGGGGGGAAAAAAAAGCTGGATGTCCTTCCTTTCTGCACGGTTCCTGCTTAAACCGCGGGGAAAACAATGGGGGGAAAAAAAAAAGATATTAATCTACTTACAGAGACATGGTGCTTCTTGGGGAGGGTCTCCCTCCTCCGCCGACATTCCTGTGCCTCCAGCCCTAGATAAACTCCCGCCGCCTGGGTCCGGCCGTGCCCCGGCCGTTGGAAACCGGAGCTGGAGGGAAGTATTTAAGGTCCTATCAAACCCCGCCTCTGCCGGGCACCCCTGAGGTCCTGCCTGCACCCCTACGGCCGGTCCCACCACCGCTCCTGGCTCCTCTCTCCTTCACCAAGCCTTGGGAGATGGAGGGAAGGTGCTATAGATAAAAATATGTATATTCCGGGGGAGAAAAGGGGCATTGGTTTCAGAATCCAAACAAGCCGCCGGGTCTGGTTTGAGGAACGCCGCCTGGAATTCTGCTGCCGAGCTCTTGAGCCGGTTGGAAGTAAATGAATAGCATCAGCTAGTGGCACTGGTAACAGATTTGTAAGACAGAGAGCGTGACTAATAGGGAACATGTGGAAAACATATTTTGGCAAAACTTCCTTGGTTGCTGGGGTGAAAAAAAAAGAAAAAAACCAACCCACAATAGTAAGGAAAAAAGGCAAAGCTCGTGAGTGAGAAAAACTGCTCTGAAGCTCCTGCTTTGCTGCACCCCCAGGCAGGGATTTCTCTGAAAGAGGTGGTTGCACCTCTCTCCAAGCTGCTGGATGGTCCAGTTCTGGGCTCCCCAGTTCCAGAAGGACAGGGAACTGCTGGAGAGGGAACAGCAGAGGCTACAAAGATGATGAGGGCCCTGGAGCATCTCCCTTATGAGGAGAAGCTGAGGGACTTGGGGCTTTTAGGCTGGAGAAGAGAAGGCTGAGGGGGGGATCTGATCAACACCTGTAAATACTTAAAGGGTGGGTGTCAGGAGGATGTGTACTTTCTTTTTTTTCCGTGGTGCCCAGGGACAGGACCGGAGGGAATGGGCCCACCCTTGAACATAAGAAGTTCCACCTAAACACGAGGAGGAACTTTTTTGCGGTGAGGGTGGCAGAGCCCTGGAAGAGGCTGCCCAGGGAGGTGGTGGAGGCCAGTGTGCTGGGGCAGTGGCCTCCTTGCCCTAGTGGTCCTTCAAGTCGAGAGAACATGGTGGGTCACCTCATGGGCACCTCCACAGAGGCCACCAAGTGGTCCTTGGGTGCGTCTCCACCAGGAGGGGACCCCGCAGCTTCCAGCACATGTCACACCATCTACTTCTAAAAGACAAGTCCTACGAGATCCATCAGACCTGAGGGATGGCCACCAAGATCTCCTTCCCACAAAGATCTGTAGTGAAACTTCCACCCGCTCCGCTCCAGCCAACGCAGGATGGAGCTATGGAGAAGTATTATTAGTTATTTAAAAATAACCAGCTGAGAACAACTTCCAGGCTCTGCGGGACTGCAGGCAGCAACTTAGAGATAAAAGGCAGCTCAGCATGGTCCCTGTCCCGTGGGTCACGCAGACTTTCCAGGCCCTTTGCTTTCTAACCCTGCGGGTTATTTATACACACAGCAATCTCCTCTGGTGGAAGGTTTCTCAGGGCATCTGTGCTTCAGGCAAGCTGGGCATCATCTGCTTCTGCTCCAACCTCCTGCCCGGCAGGTCCGGCCATCGCACCAGCAGGGATCACAGAATCACAGAATCTTCTAGGTTGGAAAGGACCTTAAAGATCATCTTGTCCAACCGTCAACCTAACTGGCAAAAATAGACACCCACACAACAAACAAGGAGCATCATCACTAAACCATCCCTCCCAGCACTACATCAACCCAGCTTTTGAACACCTCCAGGGATGGGGCCTCAACCCCCTCCCTGGGCAGCCCATTCCAAGGGCTGAGAACCCTTTCAGTGAAAAAATTTTTCCTACTATCCAGCCTGAACCTCCCCTGGTGCAACTTGAGGCCATTTCCTCTTGTCCTGTCGCCTGTGACTTGAGAAAAGAGACCGGCCCCCACCTCTCTACACCCTCCTTTCAGGGAGTTGTAGAGAGCAATAAGGTCTCCCCTCAGCCTCCTCTTCTCCAGGCTGAATAACCCCAGCTCCCTCAGCCTCTCCTCATAAGACTTATTCTCCAGCCCCCTCACCATCTTTATCGCCCTTCTCTGGACCCGCTCCAGCCCCTCAATGTCTTTTTTATGGTGGGGGGCCCAAAACTGGACACAGTACTCAAGGGGAGGCCTCACCAGTGCCGAGTACAGGGGGACAATCACCTCTCGGGCCCTACTCCCCACGCTGTTCCTGATACAGGCCAGGATGCTGGTGGCTTTCTTGGCCACCTGGGCACACTGCTGGCAAGTGGTTCCCATCACCAAACTGTCCCCCGTGGGCCAAACCATCACCTGGGGAAGGAGGCAGAGGGCTGGAGGCAGAGCCAGACCCGTGCATTTTCTCCTGCGCTCTTCAGCTGCTTCACTTTTCACTGTCCCAACAGGTTGTGTGAAAGCCAAAACCTTCCGTGCGTGGGCAAGAACAGAATGGCAGGAGTATGCACACAGTTATAAATAGTTCTGTGTTCTCTTCCTCCCAAGGAAGACGGGAGAGCAAACAGGCTAAAAAAGTTACAGGCATCTTTTCACTCCTGACCCACCCCTCCTGCCCTTGTCCTCGCTTGGCACTGAGAAAAGGAAATAAAAGAGAAGGTGGAGACAGAGGGGGGATGGATGTGACGAAGCCTTGTGCGATTCTGGCTGCTGGTGGGAGTCATCTCTCCAAGTCACCTCTCTACTCAGGCACTGCTCATGCTCCAGAGTCCTGATCTAACCATATTTCTCCTAGATCTCCTGTGGAAATAAATAAGTGCTGTCACTAATGATAATGAGAGCTGGGATAACGTCTCTCTGCTATGTCAGTGGTGAGCAGCAACCAAAATTGTCCACTCTGGTCACAAATCTAGGAAGCTCTGCACCGTATTGCACTGAAAGTTCACTTTCTTCTCTAATTTTCACCTTTTGGGATTTTCATTCGATCTGTTTTAAAACTAAATGAATTGAAGAAGCACACCTTTGTTCAAATGATAAGCCCATTTAAAAAAAAAAAAAAAAAAGATCCAGGAAGCAACAACATCACTGTGTCAAGAAAAGTCACAAAATTGAAATAAATTAAGAATGTCAATTTTTTACCTTATTGGAAACGGTTGGGTTTCAATTGAGAGGCTGCAGAATTTCACGTCTGAGAAGCAAAACCATTTGATTACCACAAATGAGGGCAAAGGCTGAAGCAGCAGTTTTAATTTGTATCTTTTCTTCTTCGACTAGCTTCTCTAACCCTTTTTTTCTTGACCTTCAGAGGTGGGATGCGGGACGTGTCTTCACCCTTGATGGCCGTGGGTGTCATCTGCTTTGAAAGCAGTTTGTGATGGAAAGGGTGACAAAGGCACTGCCTTAAAGGAAATATTAGACTTGGGAAATGCTCTGCCTCTTTTGCATAATCTTAACAGTTCACTGCAGAGCTCCTGAATCTTGTTATTATTCTTACTATTCACTAATTTGGTGGCAGTGAGAGAGAAAAATCGATCTGCTTTGCCGGTGAATGAAAGGGTCAGAGAAGGGCACTCTGAGGTCTTATCTTCCCACTTTAAAACATTGCAGCCACGCAGAAAAAAAAAGGTTTTAATTTAATTAATGCCTCTGGTGTGGCTGGAGACTCTTCCTTGCAGCCCCGTGCCTTTAGTGGAGCACTGAGGTTCTGGAAAGGGCTGTAAACAGGGATTTTTTGTCTCCCAGGTGTTAAGATGTGCTTCAGGGGGTGGCAGCCTCCTTTCTCCTCCTTTCCTCTGATCCCCCTCGTCCTGCCGTTATCTTCCCTGACTTCAGGGCAGCTGGTCCTCAGGCACACGAGGGTGGGGGGATTGATGGGTTTGGAAGAAGACTCAGGCTCGTTTTTTACAAGTTTGGTTCAACTTTGACATTTCTAGAGGTTCATCCCCAGACACACGCCTGGTTGATAGGACCAGGTAAAGCAAGCGCTATAGAGAGGTCCAAGCTTGTATCTCACTGGGGCATCTTGAAGGTTGCCTTCCATTTCCTGATGGAAAAGAGGCCATCAGCACCCATCAGAGCTCCTTCTTCACATCTGGAGTCTCCAAAGCCTTCAGCAAGCCAAGGACCCAAGTTGTGTCATTGCCTCGGTGATGTGCTGGCTGGGCTGGGGACTTCTGCTGGGACAGAGAGCCATGTCTCTTGCATTAAGGTGCTTTGGGACAGGCCAATCCCTTCCAGCAAGGGCAGAAGCAACATACTGGGATAAAACTTCAGTTTATGGGTGGAAGGACCATGCCTTGGGACAGTCCTTGTTTCCAGCCACAGAAACAGCCTGTTTGCTCGTGAAACCGTAATTGAACCAACACCCCTGTTTATGGATGGTGGTATCAAGACATGGTATCAAGATGTGGATGTCCTGGGGACCCGTTCAGGAGCTGTGATGCAGAGCTATGAGGGAGTAGGTGGGAACAGCCACAGCACTTCTCACCTCAACCACCCCTGGGCTCCCTTTCAGTCCCACCACGCTCCCTCGCTTAACCCAGAAAAAATAAATAATCTCAGTTGTGCAAACTTCCCTCCTTCACCCAGAGCTTTGGGCATTCTCCAAGATTCAGCAGGACCAATCAGGGCTTGCATCGTTAAGAACTCTGCCAAAACCTCAACTCTCTTAAAAAAAAATAGTTTACAGGCATCAGAAAAAAACCGTGCCAGTGTTTGTTGCTAAAATCTGCTTCATGGCAAATTTCTGTGCGGACTTTTCAGGACAGCAGTGATGACAACCCCAGCAGAAACGTGCCATGTGAAGGATGTGGAGCCAAGGACTCTCCGTGTTCATCATCCACTTCATTTTTCTTCTGCATCCAGCCCTGCTCGTTGGACGAACCCGAGAAGTTCTTGATCTGGATCGGGACGTTACGGTTGGTCTCTGGCCCTTGCGAGGACCAAACGGAGAAAATCAGGTCTCACGTGGGTTTTTTTTTTCCAAAGCCCACGGGGATTTTGGCTGCATCACGTCAGGATGTTTGAAAATGAGGTGACGGCTGCTTTCTTTCAAGCGCTCTGAAAATATAAACTCTGGCTCTGAATTGCCTTGAAATTTGGACCACGGTTGTGCCTCAGTTGGCCCAGAAGTTAGGTCAGAAAACAGAATTTCTGTTAAGTTTGCATTGGTTTGTGATTGGAGCAAAAAGCCAACGCTGTGCACAGAATGAGTAATATTCCTGCTGGAAAACAGGTTGCATCGTTAAGAACTCTGCCAAAACCTCAACTCTCTTAAAAAAAAATAGTTTACAGGCATCAGAAAAAAACCGTGCCAGTGTTTGTTGCTAAAATCTGCTTCATGGCAAATTTCTGTGCGGACTTTTCAGGACAGCAGTGATGACAACCCCAGCAGAAACGTGCCATGTGAAGGATGTGGAGC